CCACAGACCAATTCACAACCTTTTTCAATTTCAAAATTAGCTACGTTTAAATGTCATGGGCACTTTTTGTTTCAATCAGAATTAAATAATTCTGATTGATGAATCTTACATGTCCGAATTAAATGGATTACAGAAGGTTTAAACCACCCCTTCCAATCCGAATGAAATTTCAATCGGATTTGGCTAATTCATTCCGATTGACGTGGTGGTTACATACGTCACTTATTCCGACTGTGCTACTAGTTCGATTACAAATGGATTATTAGGATCCGTGTAAACGCAGCTGCTTTTTTTCTCTTGAAATGTCTTTAACCTTCGCATTTGGACAGGTTTCCCATTACACAGCACTCCTTCTGAGGACCAGCATATTACGCCAGGACTGACTTTGCAGGAACCCGATGGATCGGTAATCGGCAGATGTTACGATTGAAGACCATGAAGACGTCACATCTAGTTCTGACGTGGTGTATGTGCTCTTTTCACTATCAGAGTGAAACATTCCTTGAATGCACATTCCATACACACAATCAGCGCCCGGTAGAGGAACGGTCACCAGCGCTTCAATTGCATTCTACAGCAGGGGTTTTGAAACAAACCAGGATGCAGCAGGGTTATTATTAGGGATGTCCCGATCCGATACTCAGGATCGGTATCGGCTCCGATACTGCCATTTTTGCGGGATCGGGTATCGATCAGACATCGATCAGACAAGGCCGATCCAAATCCGATATTGTGGGTATACTATTATGTGTTATTGTTAAGCCCCACAAAAGGCACAAAAACATTCTAAAGTACCATAACGTTTTCGTGCACTCTATTATAAGTGTTCTGAAGCCATTATGTGAGAGAGAAATTAATATTTAAGTCATTAAATTCAAGATCAGGTAAACTTTTCCCTCTCGCGGCTGTCAGTCATTCTCCATTCAGCATTCAAACAGCGCGTCGCGTTCGGTTACAGTCAATGATGAAACTATCTTCAAGATGATTCAATGTTAATACTTGATCTGTAAGATAAAGGTCTATGTTTTCGCATTTAACAACTTTATCTTGCTGGACTTTATTGCTTTAACTCAATCGTGTTACTCTCTACCGGGTGTCGGACGCTGTCGGTTTGATCCATAGGGTTTGATCACAACACTAGAGTCAGAGCACTATAATTGTTCTTCACGCGCACAGTAACTAAAATTTAAAACTGTTGAAAGAAAAGGCTCAATAAACGATTGCATAGATAGATACTGTATAATACACTGTCCATCAATATGTATCTCCGTTGTGCTTTGAACTTTTCAAAGCGGACTCGACGCGCTGCGTGCTGTAACTCCACGTGGCTTCAAGCGCATCATTCTCCGCTCGGGATGCGCATACGCGCTTTGTGCCGCACTGTATTGAAGCCTTTCATATCATAATGCAGTGACGCAATTAAAGCTTATTAACATTAATAATTATTAATGTTGCTGCCTCATTAAATAGCTGTGCAATACACTTAAAACATGTCTCAATTTTATAGCAGATTTAGCTATATCTAAAATAATTATCTTTTTCATTTTTGTTACCCTTGTTTTTCATGAATGCATTTTACAACAATAAGAAGAGCAATGTGTATTATCCACTAATCTAGTTTATAATAGCATTTTTGTCATAGATTATGATCATATATTTTGGGGATTTGTTGTTTATCTTTATAATGAAGCTGTCTGTATTAAGTAGATTGTGTTTAACACACACAAGAGTGATAATCAGTTTAACACAGTTATAGAAATTCTACTTGATTTAAAAAACAAAAACTGTACTGGTATTTACAATGTAGAATGCTGCTGTTTAAATTGTTTTAACTTTAAACCTGTTGGTAGCTAGCTAGCTTTAAGTACTGAAGTATCTGTATTTTCTTTCATTTATATATTTCTTAATTTTTTTGTAGTGTTTGAATAAAGGGTGGCAATCTTTCATAATCAACTGTTGTTGTGGACTATATAGGAGGTATATTTTAGGTGGCTAATTGAGAAAATTGCTATATTTTTTATTAGTTTAAGAATAAAATAAAAATATCGGATTAATATCGGTATCGGCAAAAGCCAAAGCTGCGGCATCGGTATCGGTATCGGAAGTGAAAAAGTGGTATCGGGACATCCCTAGTTATTATCGTTATTTATTATGACTAAAATTATTAAAAACATTTCTGTTAATTGAAATAAACCTGGAATAAAATAGCATATATATATATATAAATATGAACTAAATTAATATTGTTTTTAAAACAAAAATGAAATATCACTGAACTTACTTAAGCTGGACTGTGACGCTATTTTCTTTTGGAAACAAACTTTTTTGCATTATTTTCCTGTTATCTCTGTAAAGCTGCTTTGAAACAGTCTGTATTGTAAAAAGCGCTAGGCTTATATAAATAAATGTGACTTGGTCCCGCTCATTTCCAGAGTCCGCTTCATTGGAATTATCCACACACATTGGATTTGGCACAATTTTTACACCGGTGGATGTCCTTCCTGACGCAACCCAGCACTCACACACACTCCTACAGCCAATTTGGCATATCCAATCCACCTAACCTGCATGGTCTTTGGACTGTGTGGGGGAAACCGGAGAACCCGGAGGAAACCCACACTGACACGGGGAGACATGCACGAACAGTCTAGCTATAGGCTAATACTCAAATAAAGGCTTGTGAAATAAACATCACCCACTGTTTGTGTAACCTGTTGGACTTGACCCAGCATCAATCATGCACCCATGGCACTTCTTCACTAATAATACATGAACCATTACCTAAATTCCAGAAACTGAAAACTTGCATTGATAGGGTAATATTAATATACCAAACACAGCCATGATGACATTACTACAGCAGCAATATTTGAATAATAAAAAGCATTAATGAGATTCAATAGTGGCCGGACAAGGGAAACCACTCGTCCAAGATAGCAAAACGGAAGCAGGGAGGGTTCATAGCCCGTGTTCCAGACTACTATCTTGAGTTAAATCACTGCTAGAGAGCTTTGTACCCTCCCTGTACACAACAGAGCTTTGTGCGCCAAACTACGAACTGGCTCTTTGAATTACATGGACAACTTTGAGCCAAAACTAACAAAGGAACAGATAATAAATGCCGGTATCATGAACTAAAGTGCATTAAACTGTCACATTTTGATGAATAATATGTTATTTATGTTTGAAAAAATGATGCGTAAGTATTAATAAAAATGTATTTTTTGCCTTCATTTTTACATTTACATTCATTGTTTACATTTAGATGCCACAATCACAGGAAGAGAGCAACTTTTTTTAATAAAATGAAAAATTTGATTTATTGGGTAGGCCTAATAATTAATCAGTCATGCTGGATGACATGCATTTTCCTTTTTTATATATATAAATAAAATCATATTAATAATTTCCGTTTCATGTGATAATCATATAATCTTGCAGAAATAATTTAGGTAAAAAAAATAACCAAGCAATAAAAAAGAGAAATAACTAAAGTGAAAAATCTCAACAAATAGTTCCACATAAGTAAATTGAATGTTAATTTTAGTTTTTGTAGAGTTTAGTTGGCAAAATATTTTTTATTTAATACATTTTAATTTTACCAAACTAATTTTTGACTTAAATTTTTACAACTTTTTTAAATTTTTACAAAGTTTAAACACATACATAAGGCACTTAAATGACAAAAAAATTGTATACTTAAATTCCTTATTTGTCACTGATCCAAGAATTTAAACGACATTAAAATGTCATAATACAAAAAAATCTAAATGATCCTTTATAGGCTTCAGTTTCAGTTTCCAGATATGTCTTATCTTTTACATAATATATTCTGTCTTTCCAAAACAAAACATGGCCATAAATGCTTTTGTTTTTCCTTCCTGTAACCGTCTAGACCAAGTGATGTCAGCTTGCGTCATTTGTTGGAGAACAAGAGACTTCTAATTGAGCTTCTCTACACTCTGCTGGCAAAGAAAGAAGAGGAAGGTTTGCGTGACTTCAGTTACACAATCCACTGTGTACACCATTGTCATATCTGACCAACAAGGCTAATATCACCAGAATAAAGAAAGGCATAACTATCATAACTCACTTCTCCAAAAGGTTTTACTGAGAACGGATGACAGGCACCGTGGTCCACCAAAACCAAACCTTTTCCATGGAAAGGTTAGTTTGCATCAGAGCAATTCTGTGGAAATATTATAAATTCCCAGGAATGGCTAATAATCAGAGAAGTGAAAGAGTAACAGTCAATTCCATGGGACAATTATGAAACACGACAATATACCAATGATTTATTAGTGGCCGGTGAAAAATCACTTGTATATCAAACTAAACAACAGGTTGATATATTTACAGTTACAGTATAATATGAGTTCAGACAAGCCCAGCTCTAGCCTGAGGGGTTTACAACTCTTGGTTTCAATATCACTCATCCCTTATTAATAAACCTATTTCATCCATTAACTTAGAACGGTCACATTTATTATGTAACTTAGTGCATCAGAGACCCATTCAACATACTGACAACATTCAACTTAAAGCAAAGACAGGAGAAGTAAGTTAACGTTACTGACCTGAAAACAGAAAGTTCCAACTCCACAGAAACTTGACAGTTAAGAGTCGAAATTAGCAGTCAACATAAAAACAAACAGTTATTTCACTCGTTCAAAACCTGTCTATTAGAGGTAAGTTATTTAACGTTACCTTTTTTTTTACAATACGCTAAAACTTTTCTCGACCCAGTAAGTCTTTATAACAGCACTTCCGACATTAAAACTAACCAACTATTCGAACTAATACCATTATAATACCACAAATACACAAAATAGCACAACACAGAAAAATAATAGTCATTAAACTTGAATTAATTAGAAGTTTTCGTAACTGACAATCTGACTGCGTTACCCACACACACTGCGCGTGCGCCAGACAATTTGGTCACCGGCACACAAACAACTCTGTAACTCTGACAGGAACAGGACTTAAGACTTGCTTACTTGATTAAAAGCAGCTCTTGAATATATTTCCCAGGTCTTTTCCTTCGTTTGACGCCTTGGGAGTGGTGAAAAAGAGAATAGCCCAGGTTTTGTGATGTTTTTTTTCCTCAGCTCGTCACACTTGAAGCCATGTTGAACTGAAAGCCGATACTTCCGCGGCTGCTGATCTTTCTGACACGTCTGACTGGACGGGACGCAAGTCAACCAAGTCAACCCAACTAGTGTATGAACGCGACGCGTCTGACTCGAACGTCAACGCCCAATCCGATGGCCAATCAAAGACGACGTGTCTGTTACCGCGTAAAATGATTTGTGGATTATGAAGCGAGCGTCTACTGTAGCGTTTGCGTCGCGTCTTTCGCTGGCAGAGGTATTATTAACAATGACGTAAAAATAACAAAATAGCCGTGTTTTGTAGTTAACGTTAGATAGTCTCGAAGAAACATTCTATATAATTGCATGTTGTTTAAAACATGTTTGAGAGTGTGTTTTACCGTGTTAGGTCTCATCCTTTTACAGTAGCCTTATGGTCTCATCTCTTCGTTTGTTGCGCGCCCTGGTGGATACATAGCTAAATTATATATATTTTTTGTCTCGTATACATTTTTTTTGGTCTCATATCATCATATCACATATCCACTTTATGACAGACTTAAGGTCAAAATAGAAGAAGAAAAAACAAGACAATCGTAAAATGAACAACATAGCCTACAAAAAACAAACAAAAACAACAAAAAAGTAGACAGAAGAAGAATTTTACAAAGATATAACGAATAACGATACGGGTAGGATGGAATGTCAGGACAACGGCAGTGTCTCCAAAACTTGGATTATGCTATGGTCAAGATTCTATTCTATTCTATTCTATTCTATTCTATTCTATTCTATTCTATTCTGTTCTGTTCTATTCTATTCTATTCTATTCTATTCTATTCTATTCTATTCTATTCTATTCTATTCTATTCTTAAAATAAAAGTGTTAGACCTGCGGTGATTTGGTGTTTCAAGCAGATGTTTTAACTAAAGCAATAGGCTATGCTAGTTGCATTATCAGTCTCGGAAAATATTTTCTTATTTAGCACCACCATGTAAACCATTTATGACGAAATAAAAAAAGGCACATTTGTTTGGTTTGATTGTTCTCCAACAATAATGCAGCGCTGTGTAAACTGTCATAAGCATTTTGGACAAATTGTCCTTGAAAAATAAAAATAGAATGTAAAAATGTGAACTTTTGCAGCGCGTTTCTGTACTTGGTGATGTTGTTGTGAGTATTTGGAGCACACGTGTTGTAAAACTGATGAAGATGTTTTCTTAATTTGCGGGTGTTTTTCTATTTGCATGTGTTTTCTTCAGTTGCAGCGCGTTGAGCTCTATCGGCCACCGTATATTATTTTCTATCTACATGCATAGCTGCAGGCATAACACACCAGAGTTAAAAAAAAAATCTAGGAAAATTCAGGTAAATTGGGACACTGTCATTGAAATGACTGGTAGAAATGGCCCAATAATTCTGAGTTAACCCTATTTACTTAGGCTACTAATTTCTCATAACGTGATACAATCACACCTGTTTTTCACACATAAAGAGAGAACTGTGCATAATGCTGAAGTGTAACGGAAGATATTTTGTGTGTTGCCAGTTGCACCTTGCTGTGATTGCCCCCGGCCTCATTTACTCAATAAGTTAACTGAAAAGGAAGTATTGTTTGGAATGTTGGCTTCTCAGAAAAAGTAATTCTTATATTCCAGTAGTGCAAGAGAAAATGTTTGGCTGCAAATAATATTTTTATAAAGTATTAAAACTTATTATCTCTCTTGATGTGTCTAAAAGCAAACAGAAACATTCTGCACTACTAAGAGATCAGGCCAAACTACCAGACCAACCCAACATGAAGGGCAATTGTCAAAAGATGAAAAAGCGATTGTGGCCTTATGGAATTCTGCTGAAAGAGGTTTTGAGAGAGGGGTTCTGACAATCATCTCATCAACCTTGAGGGGTTACATGTAAACATTTACTGCTTGTGGGATCATGATTATTAAAAATGTCATTCTGGTTATTTCACTTAATTAGGATTTGTGCTTCATAAATTATGTGAGACATTCGTTTTCTTGTATGTTTTTAATTTGTGTCAGGAGCTGAAATTCAGGGTGAGGGTTTAACATTTAATAAAATAACAATCTGTTAAAATGTTGCTGCTTAAACACAAATATGGGAAGTGATGCATATACTATAGTTGATATTTCTTGATTTTCCCTCTAGATAAATAAGAATGTCTGTCTAGAATATAGCCTATATCCTACAATACTATGAACAATACTAACCCTTGTTTCACAGACCCAGTCCCAGACTAAAATGCATGGTGGGCTGTTTTAACTGAAAACAACTTGCACTGACATATTTTAAAAGTAGCCTAATGTTTTTTTTCTTTCTATAAGGCAAGTTTATAAAAGCCACTCAAATGTCACTAAAAGATGTCTGAGATAAACATTTTAAAACTTAACATTTGTGTATGGCTTGAATTACTTGAATGTGATGTTCGTTGTCGGAAGTTTTAATCAGCGAATAGCGCAGGCTATTTTCCCTTATCAAAAGTGCAGGGGTCGATTGCTGTCTTTTCAAAACTGTGGGGGTCATGACCCCCGTGTCCCCCCCAGGCAACATGAGCAGATCTAAATTTAATTCCGCAATCAACACTTTTCATCTAATTTTCAGTTTCACTTTATTACTAGATTTATTTTAAATGTGCAGGTGAATTTTTGGCCCAAGCCCCCGTTCATTTTTGACCCGTGGCAGCCTTACACACTCTCCGAACTAAAGCATAATCTTGGCTTAATCTATAAGTCCTGTCTGTGAAACAGGACCTAAAAGTAATAAAACTGTGAAAACACCTCATGTTCATCCTTCATGTAAAACTATAGTGAATATTTCTCAGGTTTAGTTCACACATAAAGTTTTAAAAAAATTGCCTGTGAAGCAAAATATCTCGTCTTAACACCAGTGCATTACAATTTATTCATATACACTCTAAAAAAGTAACTAATCGTGTTACTTGGTTACTTTTATGGAAAGTAATGCGTTGTGTTACTTTTGCATAATTTTTTCTCACCTGTGCTAGGCTTGCTTTTTTTTTTGTAACAAAAAAGTTCTATTTTTGGTCAATTTAAAGGCCCTTTCACACCAAAATTGAAATGAATAAGCCTCAGGCTGAGGGAAATGCAAATTCACCACTGAGCTGCAAACAATCCTTTCAGCTGTGCTGCCATTCTGGATTGCAGAAGAATAAGACACAGGAGAAGAAAGTTCGTTGAAAAAAGGAAACACAAATTACATTTTAGGATATTTCATTGTTTTTCATGTATTTAAAATGTATTATGAAGAACAAATCAATGCATGAAACAGTAACAATAATAGGTGACATAAACATATATGAACTTAATTAATGAGTTAAATAAAATTACAACAAACATGAGTGACAACTTGCCCCAGCCTGACATTTGTAAAAACACCCTTGTCCTGAGACAGTTCAATGATTCCGTAAAAATCAAAATCAGACAAAATTGCATTATTTTGCTTAAATAATGTCTAGCCTCTTAATCTATGTTTTTCTGCAAAAAAGTGTCTCATACAGTATGTGCAGCAGAGATACCATGTACTGTAAATTGAATGCGTTTGGCATCTCTTTAGTTACAGTGCCCCCTAGTGGATATATGGTGCATCGAAGGAGCGGTTATGACTTATCTCCTCATCTTGTTTTGCAAAGGTCATTCTAGTAGATAGTATAGTATATTGCAGTACTGAATTGCATACACTCACCAACCACTATATTAGGTGCACCTTGCTAGTACTGGGTTGGACCCCTTTTTACTAAGAGGCCCAAAGTGTGCCAAGAAAATATCATTAAACCACCAGCAGCAGCCTGGAGGTTGATACAAGACAAGGTGGATCCATGCTTTCATGTTGTGAAAATCCCAGTAGATCAGCAGTTTCTGAAATACTCAGACCAGCCCATCTAGCACTAACAATCATGCTACATTCAAAGTCACTTAAATCCCCTTTCTTCCCCATTCTGATGCGCAGTTTAAACTTCAGCAGATCGCCTTGACCATGTCTACATGCCTAAATGCATTGAGTTGCTGCCATGTGATGTTAACAAGCGGTTAACAGTGGCCGGTGAGTACAAGGCCATATTGTACTACATTTATGTCAACTCCACAAATTCTTCTTTTAAAAATAATTATAGGTCCCATAATTATTTAGTATCTCCAAAAAATGCTTTTATCTATCAAATAATTTTAGAAATCTCCTTATAGTTCACAAGTAGGCCTACATCCTTTAGCTTACAGAACGACAAAAGCCTCTTTGGCTGCCACAGCTTTGGCAGAGCTTTCCTTTTTTGGCACACAAGCATTTGACAAATTAGACCAAAAGTAAACACGATTATGTAAATGTATGACAAAATCAAATTACTTTTCCAAAAGCGCCTTTGTTTGGCTCGATTATTCCCCTACAATTCCCACACAGGGCCATTGTAAATTGGGTTATGCACATTTTCTGGAGAGGGTGTCCTTGGTAAGTAGATGTTTATTTTAGACTAACACAAGAGACCTGCAGAATATTTATTGACTTGCAAAGTCCCCGAAGACTTTCAAGTGTAGATTCTGATGTAACAGACATAGAATTGAATGCTAATATTTTTAACATGTCTGACTCTAACAACTTGTCGATCCTCAGCTGTGGACCCTTGGACTGAATAACTATAACTGAATAACTGATTTCAAAGCAGACGTCATGGCACAGGAGATATGCGTTTTTCTCTTTTCCCTGACGGCTCTTGGTGTCCTTTACACTATGAACAATGTTCCAGCATTTCAAGAGTGAGTATTGTAATATGGTTAACAGAATCATATAATACATTCTTATAAAAGGCTGTGTGTGAAAAGCACATTGCGAATAATTTTAATAACAACTTTGGTCACATTAAATGCATTTCACCAAATGCCATATTTTATTGCAGTCTGTAGGCTACATCATATTTAGATCTTTTACTAGAGAACATAGATTATAGCCTACTATAAGAATAATTTGTAGACTGGTGACAGAATTTATTTAGCATGCTCGTTGAAAATTATTACTCAAATGTGTCTTTTTCTCTTTATTTCTTCCACTTGAGGGCAGTGAAAGGATATGTAGTAACTGATTTGTTCTAGACTCAAGCAACTGACTTTAATTATATAAAAAACAATAGCTTTATTATAATAATAATAGTTTTTATTGTATCAATTATATCCTGACAGAAAAAGAATATTAAATTCACAACATTACACCCATTTAAATGATCTAAGAGTTTCAAAAGCAGCACATGCCAAGGGCAAACAAAGACATTTGTGTGCACATCTCTCTCCAGGCTGGTCTTAACACATCACAAAAAGAAGCCTATTTAAATGTTAAACTAAAGCCTAAGATTGTATTACAATTCGCCATATTTTCATTTGGAGTTTCTGCTATTCTTATAGGATACTGAAGGTCACCAATTACTGATTCCGATAAGCAGAATCATTCTTTTGAGTCAGCTGAACTGATTCGCAGTTGAACGGTTAAGGCTAATCAAATTATCCAATGATCAAAAACAACTGTAAATATCATGGAAATGCACTGGTATTTCACTGTATGTCATTTCTATACCGTTCATTTACAATGATAAACAACAACCACAGTCTAGAGGCTGTATTGACTCTCATATGTGGACAATTAGGCGTGTTATGTCTGAATAGCTCCTATAAGTGTCTCAGTAAAGGCTGGACAGGCGACTATCACATGCTCTCCCATCTCATTTGGTGGTCTGGGTGTTGGAATAATTACAGTTCTCGCTGCCAAACCACTCTCTGCTGCTCACTTGCTGAAGACAGGAAAGAGAATGGTCGAATACGTTAGGCTAATTGGGGACAAGACAGTGTGCAAAATTAATTAGAAGTTAATTTTTTAAAGAATGCAAAGGTGGTGTCCTTCAAGATATAATTCTTGATTAAATGTTTAATACTTTTTTATTAATACTACAATGATCATATATAGTAAAAATAATAGAAATAGTCTAAATTCTAATAATATAATTAAAGGGACTTTGGCTTTATCCATGCTCTCGCGTCACGTGTCCAGATTCTCACGCAATGAAAAAAACATCGCGGAACAAAGAGGACACGGACAATACGCTGACAGACAAGACAGCAGGGACGGATTAAGGCGATGATGTGCCCTGGGCACGGATGTCTCAAAGGCCCCCTTCACCAATTTTTTGGACAACAGTGGGCAGGCAAGCCAGGCATTTTTAGGGGACCCCCGAGGGCTGGTCATTTAAACAATCAGAAATGTTAATAATAACAGACGCAGCAACATCTCTGCATCCCCCAGTGTGGGGCCTCTCGCTCGTTACGCTCGTTATGCTTTTACCTTTTTCAAACTGGTGCAGCGCTTACTCGCGGTAGGTAGAAAATGCATGATTTGATTTGTTAAACATGAAAAGGACTTATCCGTCTGGCATGGCAGCTCGCTCTAACTTTAACCTAGATAAATGCATATCCAAGTGCGTGTGCGGAGTGTGCAGCGCGCACTGCATGGCAGGCGTCGGCGCGAACACTTGCATTTTCCAATCAACAGTGGAAACAACTTGAAATAGGCCTACTCAATCTTTTCTGGTCATAGGCCTATACAGAAAAGAATAATGCATCAGTCGCAAGTAGCTACTTTTATTTTTGTAAACTCACAATAACAAGAAACCGTTGTGCTTTTGTAAAATAAAATAAAACAAACAGGGCGCGCTTTCATGGTCTCCGTGGCGTGAACCGGAGCGCGTCTCAAAAATGAACTGAAACACAGTGTATAGCCTCACATACATGATGAATATTTCTATATAAAGCTTGAAATGTCCACTTTTAAAGGAAAAAATTCGAATCGAAAGCAAATACCGGCTGATTAGGCTGATATGATATGAAAGGTGCATTTCTCTCTAAAGGCGCATCCACTTTACAGCAGAGATATAGATATGTTTGCAGCCGACACTGATTTAAAAAAAAAATTATTAAACAATAAAAATGCCTAGTTTTTTCCAGACATATATTATCATTAGCCTGCTTTTGCCGGTGCTTTGCGGCAATATTTATGCATGCGCTTGCTTGAGCGCGGAATAGGCTATACGCCTCCACTCAGTATTTAAGCAGAAATTAATATTAACGTGAGATTAGTCGACTAATTGCTCAAAGGAATGACTACTAGTCGTCGACTAGAAAATCTTTAGTCAACGGCAATTCTAATCAATGCATTTATGCCAGTTGACATTTATTTAATTAGTAGCCTAATTCTAGTATCCAGGTCTTTACGTTAAATTAGTTGAGTTAACAATTAGTTAATGAACTAAAATAATAAAACAAAGATTAAATTAAGATGCTATATAGCATTGCTTGTTCCACCACAAAAGACACTTTTTAAGGTGACAATCCGTTACACATTTGAAGATTTACTGTATCTTGAAGATTGTTGTATTGTATTATATCTTCTGTTATAAAGATGAAGATTGACATTTCGTTAAAAAAAAAAATAAGCCCATAGGATACTATTGTAAAACATAAACAACTTAGCCTATGGTCTGTCTTGGTTGTGGTTTTAAACTCATTTTTGTTTTGGTTTTTAAGTAACCGTCTTCTACGCGTGACTTTTATATTACGCAATGCTTTTCACTCGCCTCTAGATGTCCTTCTCAACAGCGCAGCAATACATTCAAATTATTTATTTCATTTATTTACTAGTTAATACTTTGCAACTGCAAAAAAAAAAAAATCACATTATTTCTCAATATTTAACACAATTTTACTGAAAATAAAAATAAAATAAAAAGAATAATTTGAAAAGAATAGACACAGTACATTTTACAGGGCCCCCTGCTGGCCCAGTGCCCTGGGCAAGTGCCCAGTAGGCCCGTGCGTTAATCCGTGCCTGCAAGACAGCAGGGTACTTTCTAAATGATACAAAGTCTCAGCCTTCACATTTTGTAAGTATTATTACCTAATTCAAACAATAAAAATACCGTTTTTGGCGCTCTTAATGTGGCGTGACAATTCACTGTGTAGCGCAGTTCAAGCTGAATGCAAGTGCGCGTGAATCGATAATCTCTACTAACGTTACTTACAGTACAAGATATCCTAAACATGAATTAACATAAGAGGGTATGTTGAAAGAACCAGTACAACTTACTGAAATGTATCATATATTGTGTAATCACTCATTCAGTGTTGATAAAACAACTTGTAAACAATGTGTCATGGAACTTTAACTTACCTTTAAAATAACTGTCATGACAACTCTCAGAGAGATTGGCATGGCAATGGAACATTTACAACAATATTTGTCAACTTAGAGATATTTTAAATAGTTACATTTAACATGTAGGTGTAACATTTAATATTTAGATTAACTATTTAAATTATCTCTAAGTTGACAAATATTGTTGTAAATGTGCTAAAAGGTGACCGTAAAAAATTCATACCAGTTTTTTAAACATTGTTTGAAGCTAAATGTGACAAAATGTTGCTGTTATTTTCAGCGTGAGCCGCTTTACAAATGGCTCCCCATAGTTGCTACACATGTAACATACATAGCATGGATTAACCCCAGTCAGTGGTGGAATGTAACGAAGTACAAATACTTCGTTACTTTACTTAAGTAAATTTTCACGTATCTGTACTTTACTTAAGTAGAATCAATAGTGCATACTTTTTACTTTTACTTCGTTACATTTTGCAGCAATTATTATACTTTCTACTCCACTACATTTCTACAACGTTCTGTTACATTTTCGTTACATTTTCTGATCAGTTTTTCCCTGCCAAAACGTCTTCCTGGCCGTCCGTTCATCGCACGTTTCTGTCTCACCAGTGAAGTTTGGTTGCAATATCAACCCGGTCACACTAAATGCGTCTCTATAGCACGCAGTGTGTTTCTCGTGCAATTTATCCGTGAAAATTAGTTTTTACATGCATAGGAAACGCATTGGTAGGTTTAGTAGTGATGTGGGGTGCGTGTGTATTATACATTTGGTTAGAATTAGTATGGCAAGCCATGAGGTTCAGAATTACGCCATAAATGAATCGCGTTTACAGCCAAACATTTTAACATAATATGTGTGTATATATATATATATATACCGTATATAGTAAGGGTATATAGTAAGCTTGATGTGTATATTGCCTATTGCAAGCTTGTTCAGAAATGGTAAAAAAAACTTAAAATATAACTGCTTTTCCATCATATTGAACATCATTATATGAGCATTAGGTTGAATGAGTTAGAATTAACTGTTTTATTAATCATTAGAATATAGACATTAAGAGAATAAATTGTTATGCAAGTACTTTTACTTTTAATACTTAAAGTACATTTAAAATCAGGTACTTTTTACTTTTTACTTAAGTAGGGTTGTCATTGTGGTACTTCTACTTTTACTAAAGTAAATATGTCTCTGGTTATTTGTACTTTTACTTAAGTACTGAGATTCAGTACTTCCTCCACCACTGACCCCAGTATCAGATCTATACAGGTGGAGCTGGGGAAGGTGCACTGAGTGTTTCTGAAAGCATGCTGCAAACTGCTACCAGCAACACTACCGGTATTTGAACGTTGAGCCGCAGCTCATTGGCCACTGATGCAACAGCGACCAATCAGCTGTGTTATGTAGATAATGACATGATCGCTACCAAATTAGTTAAAGATATAGTTCACTCAAAAATGAAAATTCTTTCATCATTTACTCACCCAAACCTGTATGAGTTTCTTTCTTCTGCTGAACACAAAAGATGATATTTTGAAGAATATGGGTAACCAAACAGTTTTGGGCTTTCATAGTGTGGAGAATAATAATAATATGGAAGTCAATGGTGCCCTACAATTGTTTGGTTACAAATATTCATTCTTTAATTCTTGGAACAAATTGAAGGTGACAGTAATGGTGTAAATGGTGTAATCACCAAAGTAAATGGTGACAAAATTTTCACTTGTGGGTGCTTATTCCCCCTGGACATATAAGCATGTGCCATCTAGAGTTTCATGCCAGAAATAGGTAATATTATAAGACCTTTAATAGGTAATATTATAATTAACTTATAATAATTTATGTATCAACTGACCGGGTGTGTCCCTTTGTACAACATTAGATTTTTTTTCCAATTTGGCAGCCGTGGCTTTACCGATGTTCTCTCTCTCGCCTTGCTTCTTTTTGATCCCGTCGCCTTTTGTCTCTTAATTTTCCTCTGTCTTGCTATCTTTTCCCTCTGTATTCCTTTTAAAACACTTGTCTGTGTACGCCAATTTTACAGATGAGAAATCGCTAGCATTTCGCCCCCTGAGAACTCATGTAAACTACTTCTTTAAGTTAATTGTCACGCTCTCAGCTTCCTCTGTCCATATATGACCGCGTTTACATTTTATTTGACTATTTACAGAGACTGTCAGTCACAGAAATTTTGATTTCATGTTAACTCGTGTTCGTAATGTTTTGTATTTGCAGGCCAGTGGTTATTCTGGAAATCGGGGTGGCTGTTCTTGTGGCAGTGTTCTTCATGGTCTACCTTGCTACTCGCTACAATCCTCCTAAAGATCCTTTGTTCTATGGTATGAGCTCTGATTTGATCTGTTGACTCTTGAAATATGCCAAATATACTCATTCCATATTTTATTCTGACCCTAAAACAATAAATAAATGATGTTTGTTTATTTGATGATAAAAAAATACGATCATGTCACCTTCCTGTTTCTGTGGTAACAAGGTCACATACATCCGGATGCATTACTTGTTTTGTTACTATATTGAATGCGAAAGCAATTTAAACTCCGTAGTAAATTTAGCCACGAATAACGTTTTTTAAAAAGGAGACACCTGAGGTAAATATCACATTTAAAAAAAAAAAAAAAAATTACCCGTCCACTCAAACTATTTGTCAAACTAAGAATGAAAATATTATTTAATTGTAAACACAATACATAAAATACTTGGCAGGATTCCCCAAAAATGTTTAAAGTCTCATATATATGTCCACGGCAGTTTGCTGTGGGCAAATTAAATGTGAAAAGTGTTTTAAGAGAGTTTCAATGGCAAAAAAACCCAAATTAATAAACACAAACTCTTTTGTGCTTTGCCAATTTCCCCCACACGGACACAATAGAAAAATGTCAGATTTTGCAATGTAATGCACAAAAGATAGCGGTGTTATCATGGATTAGTGACTGAGAGGTGACAATGTCTTCTGGCACATGTCATTCCACCCCTGTCGTGATGAAAGAGAAGATAATTCCACTATCGCACCTGTAATGCAAGTAAACTAAACCAAGACCCCTATGGATTTAAAGGGCTTGGGGAGAAAAAGGAAAGCGAGAAAGACGGAGAGGGACTCAATATCAGACGGTGAATCTGTGCTCGGCAGACGGCAATGCAACACTTCTCTTTGAGCAGTCATATCTACGAAGCTGTCAGTCAGATACTCGTGAATGCTTGAAGAATGGCAGTGGACAATATCTAGTCGGGCAATCCAACCATGAAATTGGATACGAGAAAAGTATTTGTGTTACAATAACACACCTGTCTTTACATTTACACCCTCAGTTTTCTTCACAATAAAGCAACAAATTCCATATTTCTGAGAGCTTCGCTCGGAAAAGAAGATTATTAAAGGAATAGTTAATGCAAACATGAATAAGCTCTGTTATTTAACCACATTTTGAGCATTTTGTCTTTCTCTTATTTTATGAAAAAGAGCAATATGAACATTCCACTAGCTTCTATTGTGTTGAACATTCTCTGAACTTTCTGGGAAGGTTCTTTCAAACAAATGGTCTACCAGTAACATTAATAAAATGTTTGTTCAAAATGATCTCTTATAATGTTCTCAAAACAAAAACTTTATTTATACATCATTCATGGAACATATTTTCGTCTGACTTTTTTTAAATAGCTGCGTTCACTCCATGCCGTAATTACCGTAAATAAAGCTCTGTATGCTTTCGAATCGGTCTCGCCGTATTTTGATGTCACACACCGATTGGTTTGCACAGCATCGCTTCAACACACCTTAAATCTGCAGTGGTGAGGTGGTACAGCCGCCACGTGGTACCAGTGCTGGGTAGATTACTTAAAAATGTTTAGTCCGTTACTGATTCCAAATTACATGACAAAAATTGTAGTTAGTAACGTAATCCATTACATTACAAATTTTAAGTAATATAATCTGACTACTTTTATACTTTTAGATTACTTTTGACCTAACTCAATTATCACATTGATTTGAATAGGATAATCTTGTACCATATTGATATAAAAATACAAAGAGAAAGAAATATATTAAATTTTTTGTTATCAATAACATGAAGTGCATTAAATATTACATTACGTCAGAGTTTCCCAGACTGGGGTTCATGATGGAACTGCAGGGGTTCGTGAGGTTAATGAAAAGCTAATAGTTAAAAAAAATCATAAAAATGTTAAATTAAAATAACCAAAAATCAATAAATTATGAATAATTTGCTGCCATTGAATGAATAATATCTAATCATGTAATCAATAAAAAAATAACTAGTCTGATTACGAGTATTTTTAAATGCAATATAATCTAATTACAAGTATTAATTTTTGGAATCTGATTATGTAATCCAGGGTACTTGTAATCAGTTGGTAGCTCTCAGAAAATGATGAGTTTACACGTTGTAATTACAAGTTCTACAAGCACATGAAGGCTTTTTACAGTTCAGAATCGTTACGGTAATTATGACATGCACCTAGAGCTACTACTTGCTTCAGAACGTTCAGAGAACTTTAAAAAGTAACTTTCCCATATATGTTTGCAAAATTGGAAAATGGAATGTTCCCTTAACATTCATGCAACCAAGACGATTTTAAAACAACCAAGACGATTTTAAAACATTTAAAAAAACTGGACGTTTCGAACATTCAGGGAATATTCAGAAATAACGTTTTCATAACTTAATGGGGACGTAAGCAAAACATTCATAAGGCACGTTCACATCAAGAACGATAACTATAGTGATAATTAGCATTCACACCAAAGGACAATATCATTCTGTTTATAATAAACATGTGCTGCAGTTTTGTCATCTGTCGAGCTCTTTAAAGCAGGATAGATTCTGATTGGCTGTCATTGTTTTTATTGTTCAGTGCCGTTATCGTTATAACTGTGGTGTGGATTGTGCTTTAGAATATAATTTTGTTCGCCGGGATACGGATTTGGAACAACATGAGGTTGAAGTAAATGATGACAGAATTTTCATGTCTAGATGAAATATTCCTTTAAATCCAGTGTCTGAGATTTCAGTGGTGACATTTACAGTCATTATTTTTGCCTCCATGCTTGGATTTTCTTTCTTCATGTCCCTTGCCACTCATTATTTGTCACCCAGATGCTTAGGAAATGCCACATGGGGTATTCTCTGTCTCCGCAAAGTGCCCTTTTGGCACAGCTGCACTTTAAACCTGAAAAAAAAACCCAACAAATGACTCCAAAAATAAATTTCTTGTTCACACCTCGACTAGTAGATAACATTATCCTCTTCCACCTTTGCCAGAAATCAATAGTCAGTAAGAGTGAAATCCTTTTAATAAAGAGTGCAAGAATAAAGGTAGGCTAGTTAACTCTTGATAGGGCAGTTGAGCGCTGCAACATCTTATTAGTAGGTTTTTCCCCCCAAGGCACATCACAGAAGGCTTAGAGTTAAGGACGAAAACATTTCAATTCAGCGATTCGAAAGTGCCAATGAAGCCCAGCTCATAATCCCACTGGAGGAGATGCATTTTTTCTTGTAAAAGCCTGCCATTCAAATGTAACAAAAGTGATTGAAAATGATCTTCGTTATAGCTAAGAGCAGTTTGTTACTTTCTGAGAAAGAAAAGGTTCTATTATTACTTTTAAAATAACTAGAAGGGGGGGAACCATAGACGGGGGAACGCTGAATGTCACGATTGACCAATCAGAATAGAGTATTCCAGAGGGCCATCTGCAATTGATCAATCAGAATAGAGTATTCCAGAGAGCCGTAGTATTGACGGGTGGCCAAAGTTAAAAATTTCGTTGAAGACGGTAGACAAGTTCTACTTCCAGCTCTACACGTAGACTAAAATGTTGCAAGCAACCTAAAACCAATACATTTCAATACTTAACAAAAGAACAGACGAGTATTTGTGTATAAGTTACATAATGACTTTTTTGTTCAGTTTTTGCAGAGTTTTCCTTCACGTGTGTCATTGACCTCACGAGCGCTCTAGAATACGATGGCTTTGCCTCAGGATTCATGGAGTTCTACCAGAAAACGGTAAGTTGTGAGTAGAAAGTCGAGTTGATATCGATTACCCGGTCTAAACCTACCTGTCTGACAATGGTTTTGCTGGTTCTCCAGGGGGAGCCGTATCTTGGTACACCCTATGCTATCATGATGTGCTATTGGGATGGTGTAGTGCACTTCATCATCTACCTGATACTGGTACACCGCATGTCAAACAGGTTTGAAATTTAGTTCTTTAGAAATAAGGTGGTGACACTATCTGGCAAGAACAACCATGCCATGAAAGTACATGCAGTGATGTTTAAAGGAAGGTTGATATGTAAGCAATATTGGTACGCGATGGCTAGTGGTTTTTCGTAAATAAGTCACGTGACTTATTCACGATACAGCACTAGCCTCGACTCGAGTACCTTATTGCTTTTATAAAACGGTTACCACATAATACAAATTTTAAAGCCAAAAATATGTATTAGTGCGACTTTCATGAAGTGAAATCACTTAAAGCCTTCCTTCCGCTGGAAAAAATAGTCCCTGACCATAAAAAGAAGCAGAAGTTACATAATTTCGCCTTTAGATGGCGTGAGTCAGTCAGTAGAGAAGAGAAGAGTTTTATATTGAAAGGAGAAACTTGTTGTGAACACAGAGAAGCATGACGCAAACTGACAAATGACTAGCGTGTCAGGGCACGGAAAACCCCTTAACTGTTAAAAGGACAATGCATCGCAGCGGACATTCAAACGGATTTTTTATTACAAATATAGGACTGACCTGAAGGAAAATGCTAAATCTACTGTAAATGCAGGTACACTCGCTTACTCGATCTCTCACAATACTACTCTATAAGCTTCAATGAACATATCAATGAGAAGAACAAACATGCTAACGTTGCTAGCGTTGTTGTGTATGGAGTGATACATACTAGAACCGTAGGGTGAAGTGGTCATGTTTTATCGTAAATAAAACACAGCTATTATTGACCAATCAAAATCAAGGACTGGAACTGTTTTATAAACCTAAATTAATGTGTCCTATTGTCACAGGCAACAATATCGCACTTTGGGCCTTCTTTGGGCTGGATCACTGTGCGGCAACATGATTGTGTTTGTACCTGGAATCGTAGTTGGTGAGTCAAAATAAATAAAAGATCAAATATTCCTGCTAAGCATTATATAAGATGCTTCTCAAGTACATTTTATATGCAGGTAAATATGGCTCAGAGATCCGCCCTGCCTTCTGGCTCAACATGCCTTTTCTGTTGGTGCCCATATGGGGAGCAGTGTCCCTGTTCTCCAGGCCAAGGGATATGCCTCTTGTGGGTGCATCCAAGGTGAAGAACCAGACACCGCTGACCTTGGTCAATAGTTAATATTTTCCTCACAGAATCCGTAACATTTGAACAATGGTGCTTGTATCTGTCAGGCTGAACGTGAGCAGAAAAAAGCCTTAATATGGCGCCCCCTGGACCTGCTCTTTGTGGTTTATCTAGTGGCTGCCATGGGATTCACTGTCTTTAGAGGACTGGTAAGTTAGTGGTAATCATACGCTTTTGGTATGTTCTATAATTCAGTCAAAATCTGAAACTCCTATCTTTATCCATACAGGCAGTTCTTGATTGCCCACTGGAAATCCTCAACAGATATGTCACAGAATATGAACCTTATCTGAAGGATCCCGTGGGCTTCCCCAAAGTTATGGTGAGCACATATTCACATATTCTGAAAGAAATCACATTCAGGCAGATATGCTTATGGCAACCCTCAAGCATACTTTGCTTCGTAATACACTTGGCTTTATAGCATTAATCTCCTCCAAATGACTGTACGGTACCTTCTAGAAAGGTATTACTCATCATTAGCACTCAATAAGGTGGGTGGCTTATTGTCAACTTAGGTAGTCCAAGAATATCCCTCCTGTCTCAACCGACCACATAGGTATCGTGGATATGTTTTTGTTTAGATTGGGGTTTTAGCTCGGTCAATAGGTTATCAAAAGTCCTTGTTCTAGCTGGAGCCGGGGCACAATGGTGGCCCATCGATCAGGCAGGAGATGTGCTGTGAGAACTTGATAAGCTAATCCCACCCATGAGTCCTGGCTGAGCCCCTCCATCAACTCAAACAAGGAGACGTGTCGGAGAGAGTGTGACATGCGTGGTAATGTGTTTGATAAGGAACGAAGGGACACCAACACGCATGTTTGTTCAGGGGACAGAGACCTGCTTCGATCGCATAATACCTTTGCTCTCAGGGATGGAAGAGTGTTGGTGAGAATATTTATATATATCGGGCATGGCAAACTCCTCTTACTGTTATTTCCACTCAAATTGATCCAACTCATAAAGGAAGACAATTGTGTAAAGGAATAAAGTGCTTACTTTATTATATAAAATAATAATATATATTATTTGTTTAATATATTATTATAATTAATAATAATAAAAACTATATTTATAATATATATGTATATATATATATAATTACTAGAAATATTCCCTTTTTATTATTTTAACCCTCTGGTGCTCTTCACGTGGCGGTCAAAAATTACAGTTTTTTTTATTTAAATGAAATGAACATACTATTTTTTAGTTAATGTTTTTTATTTAATATTTTGTATTTTTAGGGGATTTTATGGTACTAAATTATATTTATGCTGTAGTTATAATCCATTTATCTTTTTTTTTAAAGATGACATTTGGCAAATTATTGCTGAAAGATACCCCCCCCCCCCCCCCCCAATTTTACGTTTATTGTTTTGAAAAATGCAAATTGAAAAAAGTAAAAAAAAAATTTTTTATATGAAATATATATTTTCAAAAACACGTTTTACTATAAAACTGCAAGAAAATCGGAGCCATTAATCTAAACAAGTTATGTTCCAAATTTGAGCTTGATATCTCAAAGAACGAGTTTCAATAAGATTTTGTTCAGGTATTAAAAATTCCCACTAATTCGTCTCCCAATCATTTCTAATGCGGTCATTTTTGACCATGAGGACCACAAGTCTGACTAATTCTTTTCAGGACCATTTTAAATCATGTCCATGATTTTTTTTTGTGTGTGTTCACATTGTCCCAAAATCTTTACCAAGGTCCGATGAAGTATTCTAAAAAAAAAGAAAGTATTTTTAAATTACGAAGAGCAACAGAGGGTTAAAATTTACTTTTTATTTTATTAATTATTATTCATGTTGCCTTAATAACTTCTTACTTTATATTTATTTTAAGGTATAGATAAATAATTTATTTTAATTACATATATTTATTTTTATTAGCTTACATTAAAAATATAAATATAAAGTAAGCACTACAAATAAAACTATAACTAATGTACATATTTTATATTTATTTTCTTAATATAATGTATTATAAATTAATATTCAAACTATAAATATAGAAATTTAATATAATCAAGCAATTTGTTGTTTATTTATATACAGAAAATAAAGTGCTTATTTTATATTTAAAATATATTTTATATTTATGTTTATAACTTTTTTAATATAACTTAAATGCATAAAAAATTAATTCATAACTTTATATTATATTTATATATTTGTTATAAATACTTATTAAAATAAAACAAGCATGTTTGAGAAAACATTTTTGGTCCAAGTCCCTATTTAAAATCAAGCAATAAAAATAAATTCTCTGAAGGTATATCTAGATTCCATGACTTTCACAGCTTGTTGTAACTCCACTGAAAGTCACCACGTGCTATGCAACACAAACAGGCTTTGTTTGGGGTCTAATCGTGGGTAATGCTTCCTTGTTTGTGTTTTTAAGCCTCAATAAGTAGGAATGATGGTGTGAACTCAATGCAGTCGGGCTGATCTGTATTCAGCGGGAGTGCATTGCTGCGGCAGCGCTGGTGCCCTTGGGAATTGAGCTGGACCGCATTAATTTGCGATCAAAGCACTGGCGTGTAGAGGCAAGGCATGTAGTGTTGACACTCTGACTGAAATAATACTTGTTGCATGATGTCTTTTCTGCTCCAGATGTTGCTGCTCCTATTCCATGCGCTCCCGATGCTAGGTTCATTTGCATATGGGCTGTGCACACCTGGCTGCACTTGGATGCTCGATTGGACGGTATATTTAGCAGGTGCCATTTTACAGGTAAGACTTGGAAAACATCTGCAAGAAATTGTAGAAACTTCCTCCATAGTTTCTGGCTGAATCTAGAGATTTTCATCTACTGTATGCTGATGTTATAGAAGGGGACCATCAAACAGAACCACGATCAAAGGCCTGGTCTGAACAAGCTCATCCAGCTCCGCTTTAACTCCCAGTATGAGGTCTGAGCAGTCAGCATTCCTAATCAAAGACCTCCAGTAGAACAGGACTCTAGGAGTCTCACTGTAGATCTCCAGCTCTACATACTAATGAACGCCTCCTCAGAGCTGAGAGGATGTCATTGCCGTCTATTCATCTACCCATAGGCAGAAGCTTCTAAAAATACATGGCAAGGTCCTGGATGAGTTCCTATCATTAAACTTGACAAAAGTGCAATATAAAACTAGATTCTAGCATTTTAAAAGTGGTGTTTGGCTGTTCAGAACATTGCAGCCACAATGCTAGGATGTGCTGGTTTTGTTGCTATACAGTTGCTAAGGTGTTCACAAAAAACTTCTTAAAAAGTTTTTTTGCTTAAAATAAATTCTAAGTTTGTAAGAATGTTCCTAGTTAATATTTTCTTAAATATAATTTTTTTTCTTTTAAGACAAGTTGGTGGCTATCCTATAACTTTAAAAGTTTTTTTTTTTTTACAATGGTTTGTAATAAAATCCTTTTCAGGAACTCAAATTTTTCTTAAGAACAATCTTGAGAAAAAATATAAGAATATTTTTAAGAAATGCTTTTTGGAATACTTTTAATAAAATAGCAGTTAAGAAACATTCCATTCATAAGATTGCGTTGTGAATCCAACCCCTGGGGTGTGTTTCCCAAAAGCATCAATAGCCAACTATTGTCACAGATTTCCTCACTACCAGCATAGTTAAATGATTCAGCATTTCCTGAAACCATAGTTCCATCGAAAATTCGCAAACAGCTTTGCAAAATTTACGTGGTTGGAACTACAGCTCTTGACCCGTGGTTAGAAAAATAGATTATTGTTAGTATGACGTGGACTTCAATAGTTTGTGCATATATATACACACACGCTTTCCACTTTATTCGGTTCACCTTGCTAGTATAGGGTTGGACCACTTTTACCTTCAGTACTGCCTTAATTTTTCATGGCATAGATTCAACAAGGTGCTGGAAACATTCCTCAGAGTATTTGGTCCATATTGGCATGATAGCATCACACGGCTGCGCATCCATGATGCAAATCTCCCGTTCCACTACATCCCAAGAATGCTTTGTTTTGAGATGTGGTGACTGTGGAGGCCATTTGAGTGTTATCCTATTGATGTAGCCATCAGAAGATGATATCCTACTGGAAGTAGCCATCAGAAGATACACTGATACACTGACTGTGGTCAGAATGGGATGGAGATTGTCTGTAACAATACTCAAAGTGTGCCAAGAAAGTATCATTACACCACCAGCAGCAGCCTGAATCGTTGATAAAAGACAGGATGGATTCATGCTTTCATGTTGTTTACACCAAATACCATTACACCTGACCCTACCATCTGAATGTTGCAGCAGAAATTGAGACTCGTCAGACCAGGCAACCTTTTTCCAAACGTCTATTGTCCAATTATGGAGAATTGTTGCCTCAGTTTTCTGTTCTTATCTGTCAGGAGTGACACTAGTGTGGTCTTCTGCGACCTGTTGTGTGTTCAGAGATGCTCTTCTGCAGACCTCGGTTGTAACAAGTGGTTATTTGAGTTACTGTTGTCTATATCAGCTCGAACCAGTCTGGCCATTCTCCTCTGACCTCTGACATCAACAAGGCATTTTCACACACAGAACTGCCGCTCACTGGATATTTTCTCTATTTCGGGCCATTCTCTGTAAACCCTAGAGATGGTTATGTTGACCATGTCTACATGCCTAAATCAGGGTGTCCGCGGGTCCTTAAAAAGTCTTAAATTAGATTTGAAAAATGTATGGCCTTAAAAAGTCTTATTTTTTACTTATGAAAGGTCTTAAATTTTTGATGGCAATTTGAGTTAGACATATCTAAATGTTTTCCAAATTAAAACTATCTAATTAGCGTACTTTTTTATTTATTATTCGTTCTTTGTGGATTTGCTCGTTCACGTGACATTTCGCGTCACATTCGCGCCAGCATTATGTCTGTCTCCTGCACGCGAAACAGCAGGAGAGGAGAAGAAAGCTGGTTAATTTCAGTTCAATTGTAAGTTCATTCTTTATGTGCGTAGTAGTGTGCGATGTGTATTGTCTATTATGATATTGTAATCATTGTTTTACTTTAACGTTAACTATGTACGAGGGCGCACTGCGAGCTGACATCGCATTTGTCTCTCATGCTTGCTTTCACTGCGTGATGTGTCAGTGCAGTTATAGGTATGTTCCCTAATAGACGTATAAAGTTTTTGTATTTTATATATCATATGTTGTTATCATACAATATTACATCAGCAAGAGGGCTGTTTTCCCGTGCACAATAGCAAATATATTTATTTTATATAACAGTTAAATTAACATCGTTACATTTTATAAACAATATTGTCAATATTGTTTGTTTTCCCTTTATTTCGCTGACGAGAATTTCAAAATAGCAGAGTCTCAATGCAAAAGACAGCGATGATTTCTTGACTGAAATCCGCCTTTTGAACGAATCATTTTAACGATTCAATGAACAATCACTTGCAGTTCCTGAATGAATCAGCCGTTTGAACAAATCGGTTGAATGAATGACTCCCTGAGACAGTGACTTGCCGCCACCTACTGGCGGTTTTAGTTTCACATTTAAAGTACCCTGTGAAGCCAAAACGTCTCGATCGCCCCCCGGTGACCGGTCCTAGTATAGGTCATAAGCCCCGCCTCCCCATGTTATTCAACGGGACGTGAGACCAACTAAATAATTAAATTACACTTCACATATCTTTTTTCTAAAGATAGTTTCTGTTACTGTAGTGTCTATCACGTTGATGTAATTTCAAGTGTTTGTTTTTAAAATAAGTTAGTTTTTAGTTAGTTATTTGATGCTATAAAAACGGTGCTGTGACATCATGATTGACAGCTGTGATTGACAGCTTCTCTGTGGGAAGTAGTCACTGAAGTTATTTTCATAATGTTGACTATGTGGTTAGTAGTTGTATTTACCTTATTTTAACGAGGTACTGCAATCGGCAGACATCATTGGAGAGGAAGGGAGCAGACAAGGCCACTTAAGAAAAAAGCACGGGGCGTGTGCTTACGATTGATTCAGCGAGAGTGGGGGCGGGGCCAGCTTTACTTCCTGCTCACGACTGCGCATGACTGGTCCCGAAAACGCTACTGCGCAGACTCAAGTTCCAATATGTCAGCGCCATATCGGGACACTGGCGGCTTCAGTTCTCACCATAGACAGTAAAAGAAATGGACAGAGCGACCCCGTTGATTTCAACGGAGAAGACTGAAGCCCGATTATTGCACTTCCTGTCTGATGTCTGAGCGACTGCGCAGGCTCAAACTGACCTTGACGACAGTCTGACAGTTGTAAATCTTCTAGTAGCTGTGCCAAGACAAATCTGAATCACCTTATTCCTCAAAAACGTTGTTGAAATATTTTGTCCCATTGCTTTTATGGACTCTCTATTTATGGGCTCCTACCTTGACTTTGTGCCTCCATGTCCCCCCGATTGCCTCATAGACAGTTAAAGATTGCCTGCGAGCTTCTCCTCCTGTCTATACGGTAATGTCTCTATTGTGCGACAGAAAGTCCCGTGGTTATGACGCAATCTTTAGCCTATTTTTAAAAAAACTGCTTCTACGGGGCCATAACGTAAGATACAAGGTAATGGAGCCTTTTATACATTGTCGTGTTTCTTTAGAAATAAATCATGGACAAATGGAGTCTTTAAACGCCTCAGATGTAAAGTTATTTGCTGTCAAAGTGACGCCAAAATGAATGGGAGTCAATAGGATGCTAACAGCAGGTGATGGTCTGCTACAATGGCGGCTCCCGCGAGGCTTCAACTTCCGGCTGATGGATTACCCCCTTGGTCCTCTCTAATGGAAAAGAGCGAAGGGGCGTCGTCCATCTTTTTTTACAGTCTATGGTTACAATTAGAAATCAGTTCATATTTAAATATTGAATTAAGAATTGAAAGAATTGAATATATCATAGCTTTATTTATGCAATTGTAAATGGAGTATAAATATATTAATGCCAGTTCTGATGCTGTTTCTGTGTCTCCTCTGCACTGCAAAGATGGATTTTGATTTAATGATTTAATTTAACTGGTAACAGTGGTATTGTGTTATTATTCTAATATAATTTAATTTGAATGTTAGAATTTGACATAAAAGGTGATGCATACCTCTAAGTAAAAAAAAAAAAAAAAATCCATATATGGGTGAAAATGCCCCTGGAACTCAATTTAAGGTTGCAAATATTGCCCTTTAATAAAAACTGTTAATTTCTTTCACTGCTGTGAACTGACCACTGCATAGAATATGAAAAATATGAATATCTTTGTGAGTCAGCTGTCAACAACAGGCCTAAACCAGCCATGGTACCAGTACACAAACACAATCAGTAAAATATCATCTAATTATCATCAACAAAACTTTGAAAATATTGAGACATATTTTTGTCAATATTGCGCACCCCTAATGTAAGGTATTAATTTTGATTTCTTCAGGTCTTAAAAAGGTCTTAAAAAGCCTTAAATTTGACTTTAAAAAGTATGCAGATACCCTGTAAATGCTTTGAGTTGCTGCCATGTGATTGGCTGATTAGATATTTGTTAACGAGCAGTTGAACAGGTTTACTTAATAAAGTGGCCGGTGAGTGTGTATAGTACATTTCATTCTGTATATTTTAGCATGCACATGTGCATAAATGTGTAAAGGAACCCTAGAGTATGATGTAAAATGAGATCCGCAATGAATCGAACATCAAATAAAGCAAAATGAAGCAAAGAAAAATAGTGAAGTAGTGGAAGTGCAACCATGTTACTATGGTTTTGGCAAACAGTTGAGTAGTTAGCTAATTTCTCCCAAAGATGCATAATACTTCGGTGGTTTGGCAACGAGAAATGCACCACTGGGTCAAAGAGGCCAAGTTTCTTTAATATACAAGCTCAGGTCCATCCTTCAATTTAGTGGATTTTTCCACCTATTTTCTCATCAACCACGTGAGAATAGTCTTATCCCTAACCCACAAAAAATAACATCTTGTGCTTCTGTTCACCGCAGTGCCAGTGGTCTCATATCGGCGCGTCTCTGCACCCACGCACTGCAGAAATGTACAGGATTCCCAGCACGGCCCTGGTGCCAGTCCTCCTCCTCAACCTGCTGTATGCAGTCGGTCCTCTTCTGCTCGCCCTGCGCTGCAAACGCGAGCCGGACTACTTCCTTTCCATCGCACCTGTGGGCCAAACTAACAGTGAGAAGAAATCAAGTTAAACCCACTGAGAAAACATCAACTTTAAAGGGATAGTTCACACAAATATTGAAGTTCTGTCATCATTTACTCACATAGGTGAACTATTCCTTTAAAAAACATACATGTCAAAACAGATTATTCTCTTCTCTGTTATAAAAATCTGATGCGTTTCTTTATTCCAGTGCTTTTTCCTAGTTCTAGCTTTCTGTTCCACTTCCACACAAATATCGTAACTTCTTTCTTGAATAATTGGCTGGTCTCATAGGTAATAAACAATTATCCTATAAACCATCCTTCATCTGGATACGTTGTATGTACATGATTACGTCAGCAGGGTTGAGTTCTACAACTACTAACCTTAAAAGCAACCCTTGCTCAGCAGCTTTTTCATGCTGATAAGGAGCAATGCACAACATTTCTGCTTGCACACACAAACAGCACTGTGTGTGAGATCCAATCAGTTCCAGTAGAATTAGAAAAGAAGTCTGTCAAGCTACACAAGAGAGACTAACCTAGCCGATCATTTCAATGTTCTTAATGTAATCTATAACATACAGTATTCCAGTATATATTGGGGAGACTCCAGTGAATATTTCTAAAGTTTGGGTCATTTTTGAAAGTCAATTTCTGTGTAGACATATACATTAAACTCTTGGCTATAAAAATGAATAAACACTTTTACTATTGCCCAGGAAAACAAGATACAGTTCATTGAACATATAAAACTATAGCAAGTCATATTGTCACACTGGAACCTGCCACAGTTAAACATTTACTGTCAAATATATAACATACACAAATATCAAACTGTTGTCTTGGCCAATAAAAATATTGTAATTAATAAATATAAAACACCTTAAACACGTGACAACTCACGATACCCCCCCCCCCCCCCCCTCCCCCTAAATACCTGTCATTACTTCAAATATAATCACCCATAATAATGACGTTTAAATAAAGAAGTCGAGCGAGCTATCAGTGGCATCACTAACATGTTATAATAGCCTAGGCTACTGTAATCAAGTAGGCCTACAAGTTGTTCAAAAAATTAAATAGACACATATATAGTGCATTACTTCAGTTCTGCAACATGGACACTGCAGACGGATACTGAGTGCTAAAATAAACACTATCATTTTAACTTTTCGAATAGAAAAAAAGAACATATTGGAGAAAGCGGGCATCGATCCCGCTACCTCTCGCATGCTAAGCGAGCGCTCTACCATCTGAGCTAATTCCCCTTCCGGTTTACCACGTCAATTTTGAGAGTATTTACCATCAAACGCATGTCTAAAACGTACTTCTATTCATTCATTATAGTCGAGAAAAAGAAACGACATTATTTTAACAAATCTTCCTAATACAATATGCTCCATTTACCAGATATCCAAACTCGAAACATACTCGCAAAGCGAGATCACATAAGTGGAAAAGGTCCGAAGTGTTTAAAAAATAAGTTTAGGTTGTCGTGGGATTTGAGGTTAAGTATTCACGACTAAATTACTATATAAACTTGTCGAATAAAGCTCCAAGCACCGAGTTTGCGAATAAATAAACTAGGTCTGCAACGTACGCAACAGAGAAAACTATACAAATGCAACTTTATAGTACAGCGTGAGATAAAAAGAGGTAACTCTTTATCATTACACTATTCATCAGCACTAAGCTAAGCTTTTCTTCCTGCGTACTGTAAATGAGAGAGTCTTCCACTGCTGATACCGTCAGCAGTGCGTGATGAGACACGACAGACATCTGCAGTGATACCGAGTCAGGATCGGGACAGCTGCACTAACGCACCTCAGTCATCTGGAGCAAGAATAACTTTACCCCATCTCAACATAAAACGCGTCTTCTCATGATGATGGTGAGTTCAAATCGCATTTGTGTGGGTTTTACTTGTCACCTTGATAATGCGCAGTGCATTGCGGTAGGGGATGCTCAAAGATGCTGTAAGGGGAGTTGAGGATGATAATGTAGGCTACGATTCCGCTGTGTCGTATATAATGTGTTTGGGCTGGTGTCAGTGCTGCAGCAGTAGTAGTAGTAGTAGTGTATGTGTGGTTTGGATCATGTTACTTAAATGAATACGTAATAAAGGCCCCCATTTGTAAACAAACACTGCTTGGCTTTGTAAAGATAAGAACAAAAATCAGATATCAGACATTTTTTTGTAGTCCACGTGTACATTTACAAACCTTATGTATCAGATATTGACTACACTGTTTGAATAGATTGTGTTTCGTCAAAATGTCAGTGTAAACAATCTTAAAGATTTGAAAACCAAACTAATTTGTGCACAATATGAATAAAGCCTGGTTGTTCCCACTCTGTTTTTTTTTTCTTTGAAAAAAGACCTTGTGCCTGGAAACCATTACCTGCGCACTGTTGTTCCTTTCACCCTTTGTGACCACCTACCCAGCTGACATAGAGAAAGGACGGAGGAGAGTGGTTCATGTAATGGGTAAGTACACTGTCTTCTGTGCCACTTTGGTGTCAGATCACAATTTAAGTAATGCAAACATGGGAATGCAATGTTATCAGAACAAGGTTATGATACCTACTGACAACCACCTTGCATTCTGCTGCCACCATGTTAAACATGCAACCAACCAACAAATAAATACCATTACTGTGTAAGCGCTTTGATATGTAGAGCAATTCATGTAAATTTTGACCTAGAGACCACTCCACCCACAAGAGTCATCTTATGTGTAGCTATAATCTCACTTCTCAAATTCAGTAGCTTAATAATACCAGATGTATTAAAAGAAAATCTCTCACAAACCCAGTTGTAGTGGCTACGTGGCTCAAGTAATACAAGCAATATGCAACATCCGATACTCTTTGCATATTTATATTATAGGGATGACGCCGCTAATGCAAGTAAACATACTGCATAATCAGTTTCAGGTCCTCTAGGTCTCTTTTCTTCATTTGGTATTCATTTTTATATAAGCAAGGAAAAACAGTCTTTAATTGCCAATAGCTGTTGCACTAGCTGTCCTCTCACAGCATGGCCTCATCATTTACTTGGCAGCTGCAAATTACTTTCAAAAAGTCTGTGGTTACAGTGACATTGCTTTGAGTTTAGAACCCTTTTCTTCAGATGACTGGTTCTTTATCTGTCTCTGGCTGAATTAATGATTGGACATGTTTGGCAACCCTGCTTTCAAAAGAAAATGTGTTTTGGTAACAAACATTTCAGATTGCCAGGTATCCAGCTGACAGTTTAAATGAGCAGATGTCAAGGGTGATTACACCCCTTGAGGTCTGTCCGGAAGATCTTGGATAGCTATCAGAAAAGGTGTTGTTTGATAGCTATGGTTCACACTTTTAAGACTTGGTGGCTTGGAGGAGCACTCGTCACTTTCAAATCCAACTATGCTTCAAGTGCCTTTGAACAGCCTTCAGACAAAAGCAAGGGATTCTGTGGGAAATAAAAGAAAATGTTAAGGATTAAAGCATTTTCAGTGTCGTTTTCGATACCATAGTTATTCAAATGTCTTCGTTGGGTCAGATGTTCCTGTTGCTCAACAGGTAAAGGCAAGGTGCTCAGCAGGTGGGCTGCATCTGCAACTGGCACTCTTAAAAGATATTAATGCACAATGCAGATTTCAGGCTTATTTGACACGTCAGTTGAGTTCTCTGAATCGAAAGGGACACACCACAAAAATACTGACAGATGTGGTTATATCTGAAAAGAAAATTACCCTATTTGCACATGAACTGCATTACAGTCCCAAGTTTCACAATCAGGTGCATTTTCACCCAAACCTTTGACAAAGTCTGGAAACCTTTCAGAAAAATTCAGATGAAATCAGGTAAATTGGGCCACTTTTTGACATTGAATGACTGTCAAAACGTGGCCCAATTTACTTGAATTCACCTGTAATATATATATATATATGATTGCAGAATCTAATTCGGTTTGAATATGGCCTTCCTGGTTTCTGAAGTTGCTGCTAGGAACTCTAAAGTCAAGGGTTTGATACCCAGAAACACACAGATACCTTGAATGCATGCAGTGCAATGCGTGTAGTGATTCCTTTACTTCTCTCTCTTTTTCTTTAGAGGATGATACTGGGGCAGTGATAGTACAAACTGCTCCAGGTAAGGTGGTCACCCATCGCGGTGGGACTATCACCCTTCCCTGCCGTTTCCACCATGAACCAGAGAACGTCGACCCTTACCGCATTCGCATCAAATGGACGAAGATTTCTGATTCTTTCCAGTTTGAAGACGTGTTTGTTGCTCTGGGGCGACAACAGAAGGTATTTGGGTCTTACCGTGGCCGTGTGTCTCTGGAGAGGGCAGGACCAGGAGACGCTTCAGTTATAATTCACAACATCACCTTGCAAGACTATGGCCGCTATGAGTGCGAGGTCACCAATGACATGGAGGATGACACAGGATTTGTCAATCTAGATCTTGAAGGTCAGGGAGTTGGCCAGGTGTTTTTATTGTAGCAACTAAGATTGAATAAAGTGTCATATTTCTATGAACTTCTTTTTTTATAAGGTGTGGTGTTCCCATACTATCCTCCATCCGGACGCTACAAGCTGAACTACCACCAGGCTGAGGATGTGTGCCGACAGCAAGATGCTATTCTGGCCTCCCATGCACAACTACACAAGGCTTGGCTTGAGGGCTTGGACTGGTGTAATGCCGGCTGGTTAGAAGATGGCTCGGTCCAGTACCCCATCTCCCATCCTCGAGACCAATGTGGCCGTAAGGACAGCCCTCCCGGTGTCCGCAACTACGGCTACAGGCACAAAGATGACGAACTCTTTGATGCTTTTTGCTTTACCTCGAACCTCAACGGTGAGTGTTTGCCTTCTCAGCAATCTCTTCCAGCCTAAGGCTGTTGGACCAGGTTTCTGTTGAGAAGGTCCTCCTGCTTCTCCTTTTACTGCCTTCTGTTTGATACATGGCTAACAAATGGTGCCAGTGATATAAATGAAGGAGTCTTAACTGAGCAATGCATCAGTTCCTGGAAAAATTGGCCAAATCAAATCAAATTTCAGGGAAACTATGATTAAATACAGCTTCTGGGGTGCAAAGTCACTTTGTGGCCATGTGAGAATAATAGGTGTTTGCACAGTTGAAAGTTGAATTGATTTTGTCTTCAGGAAGAAAACTGAATTTTTTGGCCCAGGTTCAGACCATTTGTTACTAAGTGCTGTATGATCCAGTGGGTACACAAGACTTGCTTAGTTCTTCAAACCCACTTGCAGTCAAGTCATTGAGAGCCAAAGGCTTTTCTTTTCATCCCCAAGTGGGCTATTAGAGAGGACAGTTTGTCTGGAAATATTTATAGCTAGGGCAATTTTCAATAATACCCCTACACTGACCAGCTGCTGGAATTTACAGAATGGCCCAGTGGGAAATATAAGACGATGTGCTGCCCTAACAGTCAACAGTCACATAAACAAAAAGAAAATCAATGAACGACTCCTGAAAAACAGGTGGCATTCTGAAATCTTTCTTTCTTTCTTTATTTGTCCTCTTTCCTCCTTTTCTTACCCAGCCAGGCCTAAACAAAAAAAGGCATTATTATTTCATCATGATAAAGGCAGATGTAAATTCATCTGAATTAAAATGTCTTCTTTTAGTAAGGATTTCATGAGCATATTTGTCAGAACTTTTGCAGCATTCAACCAATCATGTTTCTTCAGCATTTCAGTCATTCATGGTGAACTACTCAAAACTTCTTACAGCTTCTGTTGTCTTTCATAAAATTGTGTTTCTGTTGCAGGACGTGTTTACTTTCTCAAACGTTTTAAGAAGGTAAACTACCTTGAGGCGGTAAAGGCATGTCAACGTGATGACGCAGTGATAGCCAAAGTCGGTCAACTGTATGCCGCTTGGAAGATCCAGCTCTTGGACCGTTGTGAGGCAGGATGGGTGGAAGATGGCAGCATTCGTTACCCCATAGTCAATCCTCGGACCCGCTGTGGTGGCCCAGAACCCGGTGTCCGAAACCTGGGTTTCCCTGATAAGAAGTTCCGCCTCTACGGAGCCTACTGCTTCCGCAGGAACCCTGATGTCCAGTCAACACAGGCTCTGAAAGAAACCACATCCAAACCAGCTAACAGCACCAGAAGTATCTGACAGTGCAAAATACTAGTTACTAGCATCATGGCTTCCATGTTTGACAGACAAGGTTTTTTTTTGCACACCTGCTAGGCTACTATGCAACTAGGCTAGCGCTGAACTCGGGGCATATTCAAGCTTATATCATTTTACTCACTTGAAATGAGGTGTCAATCATCTCTAAATTGTGAAATTTAGCAACTTTTTTCCTCAGAGACATCACTAGGGAAAAATATGGCACAATGTATTAGCCTAAATGTTTCACAGTATACCCTGCATGCAGAGAAAACAGAACTTAGCCTTGAGGTTTTCAATTTGTTTTATTTTTTGCTGTTTCCCAGGAAAGACAGAAGCAACTTAAATGAGCACTAAGAAAGCAGGAGTGCTAATTTAGCCTTATAATGAGTGTAGAACATTAGCAATATTCTGGAAGCTTGTTTCCACCTCTGAATTGTGAGTTTATATCTTGCAATTCTGACTTTATTTCTCGCAATTGTGAGTTTATATCGCACAATTCTGACTTCCTCGCTATTGCGAGTTAATATCTCACAATTCTGATTATTTCTCGCAATTTGCGAGTTTATATCTCACAATTCTGACATCCTCGCAATTGCGAGTTTCAGTTTATGTCTCACAATTCTGACAATTTCTCGCAATTGTGAGTTTATATCGCACAATTCTGACTTCCTCGTATTGCGAGTTTATATCTCACAATTCTGATTATTTCTCGCAATTCGCGAGTTTATATCTCACAATTCTGACATCCTCGCAATTGCGAGTTTCAGTTTATGTCTCACAATTCTGACTATTTCTCGCAATTCATGAGTTTATATCTCGCAATTCTGACTTTCTCGCAATTGCGAGTTTATATCTCGCAACTGAGAGAAAAAAGTCAGAATTATGACATGAAATGTTGTAATTATATATATATATTTTTATATTCTGTGGCGGAAACAAGCTTCCATACGATAGCCCTTACTGACCTGATGATGAGAAAGTGATAATGGACAAAACTCGCATCAGATGCTAGCATGACCTGGCTAGCTTGGCTGGGCTTAGCTTGCTTATTAAAATTAACTTTCACAGTTTTGCCATCTAAGCAAGTAGCACAACTGATTAGCTTTGCCAATTACTATGCACATACAACAAATTTTTTATACATTTTGAATGACCTTGCAAGCAATAATAGAATTAAGCATGACATTTTAAGACGTTTGTTACACCGATAAAGCTAAAATATTGTGAACGACAGACTTATATAAGCGGCTTTACTACCTCTTAGTGGTTGACAATTGCACAATATTGTCAATGATGAAGCATTTGAGATTAAAGTTATTTATCTGTTTGCGTTGCCTCTCAATTCTCTAAATACTGTGGATACTGGGCACAGAATTGCTTGTGAACACAATAGCTTGACCTCTGACACAAAAAGGGAAGAAAAACCTGATGTCGCTAGTAACCATGACGATAGCTGAATATGGCTCTAGCAAATTGCACATTGCTATTTTGGTTTGTCTTGGGCACAAGCACCCGGTGATGCCGCTCTTTGTGTCTACAGTCTGCAAAAACACTTGAGAAAATGTTTGTTGCTTTGCCAGAATAACATAAGTGACCCTTACATTTCCATAGTAACAGCTATAATGAGGCCTCATGAATTAAATAAAAAAGCTACAGATTAAATTTTTTGCTGAAATTAGGCTGTTTACTCTGATAGCATCCATTATATGCTTAGCATTTCTGGTTGCATTTGGCATCCTGTAGCATGTTTGAATGCATGAGTTTAAACATTTTAAACAATCCAGAAAGTAAAAAAAAATATGCTTATGATTTGTTATCACAACATTTTTTTCTTTTGTCAAATCAACTTAGATAACTAATGTGCTTCAGATAACATAATATCTCGAGTTTCTGGTGATTTTTTATTTCAATGAACTCGTATTTTTAAGGCAACCAGGGTATTTACTTTTTAAGTTAAACCAACAATGTATCTTTTTTACAGTGCACCAATATGTAAGGAGCTGTACTATTTCTTAGAAACACACACACAATTTGTTTTTTAGTAAATGTATTTCTAAAAAGCCGTTAGAAAATTGGCATTATCATCTCATATGTTGTTACTCTCTTACCAGGAACATGTATAAAAAGACAATTTAAAGAACATGTATAAAAAGACAATTGTATGTCTATTCAAATAGTTGCATGACTGTCATTGGATCCTTTTAATCTTCCCTCAACATGAAGAAGTCAAAATTAATTGACCATTAACAACTGAGCACGTCCTCTTGGGCAAACAGAACTGAATCAGAATCTCATTTCTTACCTGCTGAAAGGATAAAACAAAGTGAAAATTGAACACTCGAACATCATGTCTGACTGAAGTGTTTGTAACACTGATTGGCTGATTTCGGCGGGTAATGAGTCAGTGCATACAAAGGCTCTGCGTTGTTGAATAAGCCTCCAGCAGTGAACAGTGAGCGTTCACAGTTTGTTTAGACGCTTAAAGCTTTGAACACGGATCCTGCTGATTTGTTCCGATCGGAAGCGGCCGCAGGTACAGATCAAGAGCAAGCATGCTGCTTTCCCTCGCCGGTTTGTGTTGAGAGAACTCAAACTGAAGTGGAAAAGAAGGGGCAGAAGGTTAATGCAACTGTTTAGAGCATTTATTCACAGTGTGCTCTTGAATATGATCTTAAACATGACCCAAGTAGGAAAGGAAGTGACATGATTTTTACAAACTGGAAAGTATGTACAAAATATAGCGTAAGCTAAAATTGCAGCTGCCAGTTTTTCACTTAAAAGTTACAACATAATAATTTACAAGTGTTGAATTTAGATGTGATATCAAAATGCAATTTATTAGGTTACAGGTTTCCCATTATGCATACCGTGGTATGAACGACACTTAGGACACACTGTAAACCCTAATGCTCAAAATAATTAATTGGATTGAGTAGGGTAAATTAAACAAGTTTTTATTCACAAAGTGTAACCAATTAGCAAGTTAGCATTTACTGAATTAAAGCTTGCCAAGTTTCCACTACTAAAAAATTTAAGTTGAGATTACATGATCATTTTAAGTTAAATGTATGAATTAGCTTACTCAAATATTTAAAGTCAAGAGTAATTAAAAAGTATGAGTACAAAATAAAAATCTACCATTCTTCTTACTTACACTTTGAATTTCTTAACTCAAATTTTTTGATGAAACTGATTACCTTAATTTATTTTTTTGCCAACTTATTTGGGTTTACAGTGCAAAGTCCTTGAACAACATTCATATCAACCAAACAGATTTTAGGTTTAGGCTTGTTTGTTTTAGAGCTAAAACAAGCCTTAACATTGTTAAAAATGCATCTGGTTTTAAGGGGAAGTTAATGGTTAAGAGTTAGGGTCCAGAACTAACAAAAGGTCCAAGAACATGTTGTATTGTGATAAATCACCATCTTGTCTTGCATATATGTTCCCATCACCAGCATTGATAATAGTGCAAATTGGAACGCAACTGGACTGTATCAATCCGGGATGAGTCAGGAGTTGGACGCAACAGCCAGAGCAATGAAACCAATAACCTGTTTTTATAAAACTCTGAGAGGTGGCCCTTCCAAGCCATGAAGGTTGAGCTCTTCCCTGGAGCACGCGGTGCTTCCCAATTGGAGTGAGACCAGGAGTAAGAGGACTTTGATAGACTATCCCCTAAGTCACCAATATGGGAAAATCCTGTTATACCGAAGATGTGCTAAGCTGCTTAATGAAGGAAGGTTTCTGGATCGTCAACCGTAGACCCACAACAAATGTACACTGGGCATGTGCATCAAGCCCTAGCGGCCGCCCATATGGACTCGAGCAGAAGGATGTTTTTTTATTTAGTTGCGACTCATTTTTTTGGCCTGCTTTGCATCCTGCAGTACTTTAAAAAGCTATTAGCAGCTAAGGACTTAGCAACCATCTGCACAAACATCATTATCCTGTTAAATGCGGCTCTTGCAAAGACTTAGCAGACCTTCTGTGTTCATCAGTTTACCTACTGAAATGATAAATGGACTTAAGAATAGGAATTAACCTTAACACTGACTCATGATGCTAATGTGGCAACTGTATAAACGCATTTCCCAAATGAGAAGCACGCCGGGGGAGTGCGAAGATAGTTGACTGTCACCATTTTTCAAAATGCTGTAGGTTTACGACGAGGAACGCATTCAGAAAGTAAATCCGTGAGAATCTGGCAATTCACATGCTATTAGCACAGGTAGCTTCAGTCAGCGAAAAAGTTCTTGGATGTGATGCTATTTATTGAAGAAAAAAAAAAAAAAGGCTTACACTTCTTCAAATTCATATCCCTCCCAGAATAGTAACTGGTTCAAAAGATAGCAGCACAGTAAATCAGGAATGTGTTTTTGCAGTTGGAAAAATGCCTAGGTCATCTTAAGAGCAACACTAACTAGATTCCACAGCTTGACGTCTAACGAGGACAGCTTGCCCTTGGAACACTGGGAGAGTCTAGCACATGCAGATCAGTCGGGCAGAGAGATCTCCCGCTACAGCTGCCAAACTCAACTAGATTGGAATTTATTCAAACCAGAGTTGCTTATGGAGTCTCAATAGTTAAATGTCGATTTTTTTTTTTAAGGGACAGTTCACCCAAAAATGAATATTCTGTCATCTACTCCCCCTCATGTCATTCAAAACCCACATGCTGTTGTTTTTTCAACATGGCTTACTGTGAGATCAGTCTGTTTTTTCTTGGCATACAAAAGGTAACAAATTCTTAGTGTTTAACGACTTAAAAATGAAAATTTTGTCATAAATTACTCATGCCATTCCAAGCCCATTTGTTAATCTTTGAAACACAAATTAAAGGTGCTCTATGTAACTTTTTTTCTAAAATGAATCCTTTTTTATTGCCTGTGTGTGAAGGGGTTGTAATCACACATTACAATGATCCACTTGTCGGGTTTTGCTATTACCTCTGAAGGCCAGTATTCCTATTTCTATGTGACGTGCATGCGCGCTCCCGAGCCTCTCTCCTTTTTATATACAGTCTATGCGACGGCACTG